ACTCTTTTTCTTCAACATAAATGACATTGATAGAATATTTTATCACATAAATAAAATGACAATCCAAGATGAACGTTGGTTGTTCTTTGAGTAGGGATTAAAAATTTGCTATCCTATCATCATATGAGATGATGGGATAAAAATGCAATCTCGAAGAAATTGCTTATAATTTGGTTCATATATTAGCACATTTTCTGTAAATATTTACATTTTTTTGGCTAAATTATATTAGCACATTTATTTGTAAAGAAATGTTCGATCAGAACTTTACCAATCAAAAGTCTTAACCTATTCTCATATGTATAATGGTTATAAATAAAAAATTAATGAAGAAAAATAAAAATAAAAATAAAATAAAATAAAAACGTGTAAAATTGCATAGGAAAAATGACAATTAGCTGAAGTGGAAAGTTTGAAATCAATGATCTTTAAAAATAAAATATTTATGAAAAGGAGTTAGAATTCACACACAAATCATTTCGTATGTATGGTTGTGGTTAGACTTGTTTTGTATCACAATAATGGTAAGATATGTCGCATGACTATTAATTATAAAATTAGTTGAGTCTCATTTATTATATATTGTATTTATATTGGGTTGAATATCTTCTTATTTGAGAGGAAAAAATAATACTATTTTAATTTTAAGTTTTGAGAGAAAAAATGGTAGTTTAAACTCTTGAGACATTGGACAAAATTATATAAAAAATTAATAATTATTCGTTGCAGTGACCCACTGACTTCATTGTTAATTTTTTTTATAAATTATTGAGTTTTCAAAATTTCTTGTTCTAAAATAAAAGATTCAACTCTACCTAACACTTGTACTCGAGTTCGTGTATAAGAAATTATTTCAATACAAGTTACAATAGTGGATTTGTTATAAAAATAAGGAAATATCATGGCAAGATTTGTCTTTTCACACATTATTTTTAGTACAAGTATCTACGGGGTTTGCTATGACTTTTTGCTATTGTCAGACGGTCACCGAAACTTTTGCCTCGGTTCAATACATAATGACTAAAGCTAATTTTGGTTGGTTAATCCGATCAGTTCATCAATGGTCGGCAAGTATGATGGTCCTAATGATGATCCTGCATGTATTTCATGTGTATCTCACCGGTGGATTTAAAAAACCTCGCGAATTGACTTGGGTTACGGGCGTGGTTCTGTTGAAATGAAAATATATTTATTTGTTTTTAAATGAAAAAAAAAGGCTTTCACGGTCACTCAATATATTTTCTTCTTTAATTTTCTTTAAAATATTTTTTAGGGTAAATTGTAACGAGAGGATTTGAATTTGATAAGCTTCTTCTTATACATGAAAATTGTGAAAACCCTATAGCCAAATCAAAAGGTTGGTTTTACCTCATTAATTCTGATAATTCTTTACGTGAGTAATATAGCCCAATTCATATTTTAAAATGATGAAAGATTTCCTAATTTATATTTTAAAATGATGAAAGGTTTAATTTAAAGTTATTATGTAGGAAAAGTTTTGTGTAGGTAGTGTTAAAATAATAAAATTTTTAATTTAAGTTTATTATGTAGGTAGAGTTTCTCTTTAAAACTTGTAATTTTGAAAATAATTATTCCCCTTTAATATCAGAAATCATGTCATGTTTTAGAAGATCTTAAAAGTTATGACATGAATACATCAAACTATCATTATTGGTATAATTCAAGCTCTCCAAATTAAACAAACAAAAATTCAAAAGATTCGTCATTGAAATTGTTCAAATGTAATCTTAATTTTCAATGCATTTTTTTGTACAATAATATAATTTACCGAAAGTTTAATCTTTTTAACAATTTCCAATTTTTTTTTTTTTGGTAATTCTAATCTTTTAACTAATCATAACTTATTTTGTTAGGGCTAGTACGGCGGGAAATAATTATAGATGTTGCTCTAATAGTCTTTTGAATGTATTTGTTGTTCTAATGATCTTTTGAATGCCTCAGTGTTGGCTTAAAGGGCTTCATCGAGAAAAAGTTGTTTCTCATTGTAGTTAGGCCTTATTATAGTTTTGGGTCGTTCTTGTGAACTCCAATATTGTGTTCTTTTGGGTAGTTTCTAACTTTCTATGTTTGTCTTAATTAATTAATGTCTTTGTGTATGTGGTTTATAAATTAAGGATAGATATTTTGTTAAGAATGAAGCCTTGTTTTTTTTTTTTTTTAGTCTTATCACTAATTTGGCAATGATGTCTGATGGAATAAATGATAATTCATATTTACCATCTTAAGAAACATTTTCAAGTTAAAACTTGTATACTAGAATTTATACATTATGATTCCTAGAAACACCTATATATATATATATATATGTAAAATACATTTTTCATGTTACAAGCACCTTTTTTGCTTGAAGACTTTGCAATAATTAATTAATTCCCTTCCTTTTTGATTTAACATACTTTTTCACTAATATATGTAGATATAGTGGAGAAAATGTGGACCTCCTTTTTATAGAGAAATAAAGAATATCATGTTGTGGTTAAACATGTCCAGACAAAATCCACATCACCACCAACTCCTTCCACTGCATGCCTTCTTGACTCAGAGTCATAACTTGTTCCATTACCTTCAAATTAAAACATAAAGGGACAAGTCGTATGGTATATATATATATGCTTCTTTATACATAATCCTTTTTTATTCTTCATGACTTATCATTTATTGTCTTACATTGATCACCCTAATCAACGCGGCATATATGACATTTTGTGTAGTAGCATTTTATAAGTTGTAATACAAGATGGCTTTATAACAATATAACTAATGGATGGTTATGCATATAATTATAATTAGTTTAAAGTTTAAGTCAAGAGATAAGACATTATGGGAGCACTATAGGTTATATATATATATTAAATGGTTTACACTAACGTTATGTTTGACAGGTATGAAATTGAAGTTTTGGAATTGAAATTAGCGGAATTGGAGAAAATTAATTTAGAAAATTAAACGAAAATTAACGTTATGTTTGACAGGTATGAAATTGGAGTTTGGAATTGAAATTAGCGGAATTGGAGAAAATTAATTCAGAAAATTAAACTAAAATTTTCTCCAATTCCACCTATTCCAATTCCAATACTCCAATTCCTTACTGCCAAATACAACCTAAATATTGTTATGGACTAATATTTTAACTTGCCATTATGTATTTTAAAATTTTAGACTATCAAGTGTGCGAATAATATAATTTCTAATGTAGGATTAATAAATTAGAGACTTTTATTGCATATTTTAAGTTAATCAAACAATTTCTCGTTTTGGTCTTAGCCCCTTAATTTGAATGCATATTTTGTTGGAAACGAGGCATTAAAAATATAAACTTTGGATGAGATTTGGGATAGATTCCGCTAATAATTTTTTACGGATCTATAAACGAGCGTGTTTCTTTCTACAAGGAGATGAACGTGATATATTTACTTTCTCAAATTCGTTTTCGGATGAATGAGAAATTAGCTCCAAAGTATGGTATTTTGATAAGCCTAAATGGGTATGCAAAATGTGGGAAGTGTTTGTCCCACATGGAAAAAATGTTGAAACAAATTGAAATTTAAATAAGCTGAGTTTAGGATTTGGGCTTGGGCTTGGGCCTAATTGTAAAGTCCAGATTATTCTTTTTTATAATTTTGGATTGGGCCTAATTTTGGGTTGGGCTTATTTAAATGGGTTTCACAAATTGGTGGGTTTTTTGGATGGTTGGTTTTTTGAATTAAAAAACTACTTTTTAGTTTTTCTAAAAGGTTACACCTTTTAAATTAAAAAACCATATTTTAGTTTTTCTAAAGGGTTACACCTTTTAAATTAAAAAATCACTTTTTAGTTTTTTCAAAGGGTTACACCTTTTTCCGAACCATCATAACTCATGGTTGCACCCACTCGAAAAGGCACATTGCAACCTATTGGAATGAATGTGTCTATTGCTAACAGACACCATGTGAACCATTGCAACCTATTGCAATGGTTGTGTCCAATAATGAAGAGATACACCCAATCCGAAAAGGCATTTCTGTTTCTATAAATACCTCCCTTTGGATCATTTGCAAGTAGTTCATTTTTCTTCTATCTCCCTCTCTAGACTTAAACCCAACCCAAGTGGGTTCAAACCATAGGTTAAGTGGTCCGAACCACTTCGACCCTAATCCAATTTCATCGAGCCATATTAAGATTGGTCCGAACCATTTGATTTGGATTGCATCCAATTCAGTATTTATATAGTATAGATGCATTTTTGAGTCAAAGAGAGTATTACACGGAAAAGATTCGCCGTATCCACAAGTTTGTAGTACTGCTACTGGTGGATGTAGACCGTTATATCCTGGGAGAAAGACGCTACTGAGTCCGTTAGCACCATAGCGGAGCGAATCTGTCTTAAGGACATAGTATTCAATACTAGCCTCGATCTATGTTCTTTATTTATTATTTATTAATTTATTACTTTATTTTTCATATTTAATTAAATATATATTTGCATATTTAATTAATCATTTCTTAACATATTGTTAATTATCTCATAACATATAAGTATAAGAGTTGTTATATCTTAAATGTCACATGAAACATATATTTTTACCAACATATTTAACGAAAGGGATGGAGAATTCTAATTTTCTCTGCAAAAATTTAGTTAAACACATGGTAGATTATTATAATCAACTCCAAAATCAATCCTCAAAATAGATAGTTCCAATTTTATTTACTTCTTTATTTAGTTGGATACCCTTTTAGAGTTGAGTATTGGATATCTAATCCATGGAAAGAGAACTCAAAGTAAAAAATTACTCATAGAGATAAGAGAGCAAATGGTAAACCTATTGTAAATAACAAAAACCAACTCATTTTAACATGGTTGCAAAATTAAGGACCACTTTTGTGTGTGTGTGTGTGTGACCACTTTGATGCCTGCAGTGGCTAAATATTTGATGAACATGCACCATATGTTTCTGATATAGTTCTAGAGAGAGCGGTGAGAACCAAAACAAAAAACAAAACAAAAAAAACAATGAACCTTTTATCAACTAGTGGAAACCATATATGGTGGATTGAACATGAACATTATGGGGAAGAACACTAGTTATATATATATATATATATTGATTCAGATGAACATTCATATAGTATAGTAGTGTTTGCTCTTTGGCGAGTCGGCGGTTTTCAAAGTCTTCTCAATCAGCTTCCGAGCCTTCCTGCTCCTTATCTCTACTCTCATACTCTCACTCTTCTCAATCTTGTCATAATTCTTCTTCATTTTCAGAGAACTCAATTTCGATTTCAAAGTCACCACCAACCTCTCCAAACCCATCATCACCATAGCTAAATCTGTCAAAATTAATATAAGAAACTCATCATTAATATATTCAGGAGAAAGAAAATCAAGACTAGAAAAGAAAATAATAGAAAAGAAACCTCAAGAAAATTGAAGAAGAGAACCGTGAGAATTATAGCTAAGATATTTTGGCTTTGGCAAAACCAAGCAATTAATTCTCTAAAAGGATAAGCCAAGGTACGTATGGTTGAAAGAGAAGGAATCTGTGTGTATGGGTCTAGAGAGAGAAAGAGATAGAGATAGAGATAGAGAGAGAGAGAAAGATTGATTGGAAGAGTGGATGATATGAATGAATTACAGTTGGGTGGATTGAGAGCTTTGAAGGCAATGGTCCAGAGCTAAGGACCTTATGAGTAAATGAAAGTGTCATATTATGTGTGTCATATATATACGTGGATATAAAACACAACTGGGCACTATGTACAAGGTTTCTTTTGTTCTATTACTTTTTTGGGATATATATACGTATGTGTGTGTGTGGTAGAGGAGTGACCAAGTGAATGAATGGATATATTAAAAGAGTAAAACATGAGGACATAATTCTATTATTGCTTGTGTTGCCAGATTGTTGGATTTTCGGTGCGTTAGAACTCGTGTTTGAACCGGACACCCTTTTCCTTACCTCTAATAACTATTCTTGTCAAACTTAAATTTATTATTTATTTTAAGAAAAATTAGTTTTATTGCCTTTGTTTTTTTAAGTGCTAATTTTATTTATTTATTTATTTTATTTTATTTTTTTCCATTTCAATTTAGATCTTTACTTTGAGACTACACATGTAAGTAGTAACTTTGTTCATTTGGTTGATAACAAGGTTTTTTTGGAAGTATCGAATTCACAATTTTCTTCAATTTCAATTTCAATGCATCGATTCAATGCTCCCAAACATAATATTAGTAAATTCCATTTCATAAATTTTCATTAGATCCTCCATGTATTCTTAAAGAGAAGAAAAAATAACATGATCAGAACTCATAAACACTAATTGTTATAGGTGGGCCCTTGCCAATTTATTCAAAAGTTTAAGTTTTGGATAATGTTGCAATGAGGGCCATTCTGCCCCTCTGGGTGGTTAATCTGGATACCTTTCGGGTCATGCGCTTGATGTGGTATCGGATCAAAGAATGGGTTGGCTCTGATACTAACTATAGTGGGTGAGCGCTTGCCACTTACCCAAAAACTTAAGATGTTGGGTAATGCTGTATACCCCTTTCACTTTTCATTCAGATCCGTATGTCGTGGGACAAATACCCTAGTAACACCAGTCCAGAAGGTATATTATGCATGTCTTTCCTTAAAATGAAGATTAAGTGATCTGAGTCATGTTAAGAGTAATATTGTGTGTGAGTGTGCATTTGACTTTTGAAATATAATAGTAATTTACATTTTATTTTAATTTGTCTGATTTTCCACATTTATCAGTCTAAAAGAACAAAAATGTGATTTACATGTATGTATGTAAATATATATTATATGGTTATGAATTATTCAGATTCTCTTTAATGCATGGACCTCTCATGAAAGAGAAGTGGTAGACCAGTAAGTAGTGCAAGTTGATAATGGAGGATCGATCTGTCCATTCCAAAATTGATTGGCGGTTGCAACTTGTTAATTAAAAGGCACCTCTCTCTTCTACTTTTGTTTTGGAAAATGGAATTCTTTCCACCAAGCCATGTCACTGCTACATCACTAACACCTTTCACTAACTCCATGTATCTCCTACATTCACAATCTCCTGTCCAAGAAAAAGGTTGTCATTTTTCTCTTGGAAATCGAACCTTAATATATTTAGGAAGACCTACGTCAGATTTGTGTTCAAGTCGCTACCAACATAAAAGATCCTACCCGACTCGCCGACTATGTGGGTATCATAATAATATAATAGGTTTTTTTTTTTTTCTTTTTATTATTATTATTATTATTTTTTTTAACATTTGTGGTGCCGGGTCTCTTACAACAATCATAATCTACCACATACCCAGTGAACTTGATTATTTTCATGATCTTTGACCTTGATATGGGATATAATTTTTAAGCACAATAATTTATTACTTTCCTTGTTTTGAAATAATAAAGGATTTGTGAATTTATGATTGGACTAGATTAGAGGTGCGGTGAGTAGGTAAGTAATATCTAATTTTTAATTCTTGCATTTGTGACAATGTGCTCAAAATTATCAGAGCAAGATCAGGTAGATGTGCGTTCGTAACACAGCAATTGAATTGTTTTTCGTTATCCATAGCAGCCAGCATGAGCCTTCACACTTCTAACATAACATTCTTGTACGAGGAAAAAAATAATAATAATAATCGGGTGGATGTTGGATGAATAGGCCTAGCCATATGAACCTTTTAGGTCAAGCAAAATTGGTGGTTAAAGCACCTATTTTTAACCTGGCCCAAGCTGCCAAGGAGCAAGAAAGTCGGGCCCTTTCATGCGTTGGCTATGTAGCTAAATGTTTGGCACATATATGTTTTTAGAGTTTTGTTAGGAATAAAAACTTTCATCTAATTTCTTGTGTTTAATGGATAGTATACAGATTTGATAATACTGAGAGGATGCCTCTCTATCAGGCCTTAGGACCTATTGGAAAATACTCGGAGATGGGTACAGTGTAACAAAATCGGTCGCAATTGGATAAATATTGTACAAGATATTTTGCTTGTCTTGCTCTTTATTATACTCTGTTTTAATAATTTTCCAGAACAAGGTTTTTTATTTTTGGGTGTAAAGATTTTCCTGAGAAAGTTGGTATTATCATATCAGCTAATTTTTATTTATTTTTTTTTTATTTATTATTTTTTTTGGGAAGATGCCTAAATCTTCATAACAACTTCAAATATAAAAACACGTATTTATATATATATATATATAATACAACAATTTGTATGGCAATGCTAACAATAATTTATTTACGTCCCCTCCTATCAACATAAAAAAATAAAAATAAAAAAATTTATATTTAAACTCAGAAACTTGTGCATAAATGACAGGTTCTGTTAAGCCCAGTTTAAACAACCAAAATGACAAAATTATTTACAAAGTTATAAGTCTTATTAGAAACTATACCAAGAGGAACAAAAAATGCAATTGAGATTTCAAAGTTAAAGTTGATCAAATCTTATCTACGGTCGATGATATATTGGAGAGACTTAATTGGAATACTTGAATTGATAATTTTGCAGTTCAAAATGTAAGACGATCACATTTATTTTAATATGAAGTTAAATTTTGATTTTCAAGATCAGGTTTATTTTATCGTCTCATTTTAACGAAATTTTGCACTCTTATAAATTTTTGGCACGTGTGAAATCTTATGTATAAAAAATTTATTCAGAAAAAAAAATATATAATATATATGTATAAAAAATTTTGCATCTAAAAATTCATCTAAAATCTCTCAAAATTTTAGGAGTCTCAGCCGGCCGTGGTGCTTGGCAGGACCCATTGACACTAGAGTTGAATTTTTGCTTCGAACGCTGAAGAGGGAAGCTTAGAAGTAACATGGTATGATGGTAGGCTGTACCAAAATGCTAGTTTAAATGAAAATCATGTAAAATTCTTTGATTGCCCACATTTAGTCACTTTTGAAGCTTTGATCATTTTATTCCACTCCAAACTACAAATTGAAGCTGTTCCAGACAATATATTCAGACAAATCCAAAACCGCCCATCTCAGATCAAATTTTATGACTTTATATGTGCTTGCTTCATTCTAATAAAATGCATTTAGCATATTATACAGGCTGAAAACAGATCACTCTGTTCTGGAAGTTTTAGGCACGCCGATTTCCATTGTTATTTTCGTAAAGGAAAATGATAGGTAAACCAAAACCCCTACCCTATTTCAGAAGTCAAAAAAACTGCAACTTTAGATAGTTTAACATCGGATCTAAGTGGGTCCTATGTTAAATCATCTAAAGGAAGAAAACATTTCCGTTCATGCAATAGGTGAGGATTTCAATTAGTATAGCACGATTCTTTCGTAAAAGAAATATAATGACTGCCTTAATCTCATTTATATATGCTCATTGATGTCAATCGGCAAGTAATAGCAATTTTATTGAAATAGTATCTTAGAGAATGAATCCCGCAGGGTTGGCCTAGCGGGTGAGAACTCGGGTCACAGTGTTTCATGAAACATCATATATCAAGTTTGAGTATCTGAATAAACAGTTTCTGTGGAGGCATCTATACGGGTTAAGTTGTACTTAGATTGAGTTATGTACTTGTCCGATCCTACCCGGTGCACGTGACTTGTGGGGTGTTGTGTGTATTCCAAAGTAAATTAATCTCACCTGTAAAGATTTGGCGATACCTCCTCTCTGAGAAAAAAATATAATAATAATAAATCATGGGAATGACATTATCAGCTACTTGCATACACAAGTGATGGATATGTTAACCTACACTTTTATTATAACTAAGACCATTGGGAAGTATATGGACAAAAAGTCTATTTGCCAAAGTAATGATAATGTTCTTGAAATGACATTCATCAATTAATTTCTGAGGTGACATGTTGCCTACAGAATTGAAAAAATATCGTTGCACTATATTAAGACTGCATTTTCAATTTAGCTGCCTACATGTTTTGGTAATAACCTTCCAAATAGTTGAGTTGATATAAATCCTTTGAGCATGATTCCAAAGTCTTTCAATTCTAGGAATCAAAATCGTCTCCAATGAACCTTTTTCGAATTTCTGTCTGGTGGGTGAAGTTAATCGCTATCAATGTAACTTTCGTTATTATAATGGTGTGAAATGGGTGAAATTTAAATTTTGTTACTACCTACTTACAGGTCCATTTTATAGGAACAAAAGTTTCCTTCGATAGTGATGAATTTCACCGAGTGAAACCATGAAAAAAAGCATGAAGATTTTGATCCCAATTCTTGAAGGGATTACGTCTCCGCTCTGCTTTTACCCAATCACCATTCCAACATTACCCCCAAAAATAAAATAAAAAATGGTAATGAACGAACTTATATTATGATAGATAATTAGAATCAAACAACTCAATTATCTATAGGCATAAATATAAATTGTTACACAGCTTAGATTTTGAAAGATTAGGGTTCAATTACCTTGCTCCTTCCTTCTTCTTTTTCATAGTTGGTACTTCCACACGCATGTCTCTACTGAAGCTTGAACCATTGACTTCTCTTTGAAAAGTAAGGGCCTGATACCGCTAGGCCACCAACACAGTGGTACCTTGCTCCTCCAATAATAAACCAAGCATACCAACAATAATTTGATTGAACAATTTAAATCTTTTCTCTCACTCAAATTCCATTGAAGGGTGGGAGTACATATTATCAACCACGTGACATTTCTTAACAAGAAAGGATTTAGAAAGTTCATCACCAATGGGTCAATTCAGCTACAACATGGCATGCTATAGCTTCATTCGGCAACGATGAAAAATACTCTCACACTGCAAATTAGCCCTAGCCCTTTATTTCCCACATGAAAACCCCCCATGCACTGCCCCCAAAAGTGGACTTTATAAAAGAGATGGCAAAGCCTAGCAATCATCAGCTAATTTGCCACCAAGCTACGCCAGGGTACTTAGCACTATAACCACCAATCACTCTCTACTTATGACACCTTGTGCGGATAAAGACATGAGGTGGCCCTATATGATTGATGCACACAATAGTCATCAATTGCATAGAAAATATTGACCAATGATTAGATACAAGAGTTGGAATTCTCTGCTGTTACAGCACGAACAGTCAAATCATTCACACATGTAAAATTGTCACACGTGTGAACGATCCTGACCGCCCACTATAGTACAAGACGGTACATCACACACATGTTGTACTACATAGGATCCAGATTCCAAATAGAAAACCTACCAGTATGATTCAGAGGTGAAACCTTTTCTGCCTCTGGTTTTCAATTGGGAAATGGGGTCTTCATTACAACTTACGAAGTGGACATCTCGGCAGATCATTTTGTCACTAGCCAAAAGATGTGTTTCACATGAATTTGAATACATTTTTTGGTTCATTTGTTAAAGAGTATATGTCAGTTGCTTTAACCTTCAAAAAAAAAAAATGTAATGCCTAGTTTGGAAAGAAGCTTTTATCCCACTCTTTCAAAAGTATACCTGGTGCATAAAACTGCCATATTCTATCAAATTTTTAACAAATGTGAGTTGTGTAAGATTGTCACCATTATAGCCCAATTGGACACCGACAATACTCTATTTATACATATACATATATGGTCGTTAAAAAGGATTAGTTAATCAATAATGAAAGCAAAGTTTTTCTTAGAAATAACAATACTTACAAAATAGAAAAATAGAATCACAAATGTACACTGTCGGTAATTACTGTACAAAATAGAAAAAGTGATAAATAAGAATAATAATTTCTTTTTTTGAAATAAATTAGTCAGTCCTCTCTGATTTCCTTATTTATCATTTTTTTAATTTTGTAATAGAGACTATATGCATTTATGATTGGATCATATCAAGAGTCAATATAATTTCCTTATTTATCACTTTTCTAATTTTGTAATTAGAGACTATGTGCATTAATGATTGGACCACATCAACAGTCAATAGGATGACCTATCACATTAAAAAAAAAAAAATGACTTATGCAATGCTTTTTCATATATCACATTTTATACATATATATATGTGTGTGTGTGTGTGTGTGTGGTTACTAAAAAGATTAATTAATAAATGATAGCGAAGCTTCTTATGCCGACAATATGGTTGCTAACAAGATTAATTAATAAATGATAGCAAAGCTTCTTATACCGACAATATGGTTGCTAACAAGATTAATTAATAAATTATAGCAAAGCTTCTTATACCAACAATAGTCTATATATATACACACACACACACACACACACACACACACACACACAAACACACATCTATGTTTGTTGAAGAGGTTAATTAATTAATAATGATAGCAAAGCTTCTCCTAAAAACTCATAAACAATTAACAAAGATGACTTAGAAATGATTTGAATAAACCAGAGTCTCTTACACTTATTGTATAACTTCAATAAATTTTAACCAGAACTTAAATTTTCTGAAGCAATAAAATTTTTTAGTATCATGTGCAAATCATTGTAGACAGATAATTTGGTATATTTATCCAGCTAATATCCTTAAAATATTGATCAACTTTCAATAACAAATACCTTTAAAAAAATGGTTGATAAGGAAAAGATGAGAGTTATTATTATATTTTCCACGTTTGTCTTTAATGATATATCATAATAACTATTATGTTAGCCAGCTACACTCGAATTAACCATAAAAAGAGACATCTAAAATGCAATGACACAACTTTGACTTGTATACTTCACCACCATACATTGCACAACATACTTCACCACTATACATTGCACAATACCATTCTGAATCTATAAATCTATATATATATATATATATATGCTATCCCAAAGTGAAGTTGCTCCATTCTTATTATTCTCAACTTCTCAAATGAAGCATAGTGCTACAGAGTTTCCCAGTGGGAAGAACACACCCCTCAACAGCATCAAAAAGTGTGTCATACCAATCATGACCTTGATTCTCATCACCTCAATCCCCACCTATCTGCATAAAAACTCATATTCGTCGTTACTGTCTCTAGAGGTTCGCGACAATGGTACAAGCCCTTTCTATCAGGAGAGCAACGCGTTCTCGCCATTGCAGTCTCCAGGGGAAACTTCCAACGATTCTCTAGAGGTTCGTGACAATGGTACAAGCCCTTTCTATCAGGAGAGCAACGCATTCTCGTCATTGCAGTCTCCTGGGGAAGCTTCCAACGATTCGAAGAGTATAAGCTTAGAGCACAAATGCAACATATTTAGCGGGAATTGGGTGCCATATCCGGATGGATTACCTTACTACACGAATGAGACACAGTGTTCCATCGACGATCGACAGAATTGTCTGAAGTTCGGGAGGCCGGACACCGAGTTCTTGAAATGGAGGTGGCAACCAGATGAATGTGATCTACCTATGTTTGACGGAGTGCAGTTCTTGGAGCTGGTTAGAGGGAAGACACTGGCATTTCTGGGAGACTCAGTAGGAAGGAACCAAATGCAATCATTAGTGTGTGTCTTGGCTAGTGTAAGTGCTCAATAAACTCATGGCATGTATAATGTATTCATTTGCTTTATTCATAAGTTTGATGATCAACTCAACAAAAAATTGTTCCCAACTATTGAATATAGTGATGGTTGGTAGATATATATATACACATATAGAAATATAAATGCATAGATACACTTTGTATGCATGCGACACAGGTATTTAAAATCTTTATACCATATCCTATTGTGAAAAAATATATATATTATTTTATCTTTATATTTCCTTTAATAGTGTAAGTCGTCATCATCATCCTTATCCTTTTATCCCATATGCATGAGATCAGTCAACTAAATTTTGTTTTTTCATTTTATTCTCTTACAATTTATCAGCCCTGATATTTAAATTTTTTTTTATAAATTTCTAATACTTCATCTCAAGTTGGTTCCGGATAGTCTTAAATAAATATTCTAATTAAATCTTTTATTAGAAGATTGGATAGGTCATATGTCTCCTTACAATCTTGACCTTTGTCTCCTCCTAACATTAGTATGATGTATAATTTTGTTGTATTAAAAAATAATTTGATTCTTCATAACAGCACGTCTCTTCTAACCACCCTTTATAAAATAAAATAAAACAAAAACAAAACTGAAATTCTAGCACATCATCTCATGTACATATATCATATACAAGGAAAAGACTAAACTACCCATATACAAAAAAATTCTCTAACATTTTGAAAAAGATCTGTTACTACATTTCTTTCCTTTTCCTAATAATCAGTGTTCTAATGGTAGATGCACATGATTTCATGGAACAGACCCTAGTTAAATTTGTTTCACTTTCAAACTTATAGTTATAGTCACTCCTACCACCAAACTGAACTCAACTATATATAATTTTTCAGGCAGCCACTCCCATAGATGTTTCTTATGTATCAGACACAAGATTCAGACGATGGCTCTACAATGATTACAATTTTACCATAGCAGCACTCTGGTCTCCACTCCTGGTCAAAACCCGTGAAACCGACCCTAACGGTTTTTCCCAAGACAGCCTCATGAGCCTCTACTTAGATGAGGCTGATGAGGCGTGGACGGCTCAGGTTGAGAAGGTCGATATAGTGATCATCTCAGCCGGGCATTGGTTCCTTCGACCATTCATGTACTATGAGAATGGTACAGTTGTGGGATGCTACAGGTGCCAGAAAGAGAATGTGACGGACCTTACATTTTACTACGGATATAAAATGGCTTTCCGTACAGCCTTTAGGGCGCTTCTAAACCTTCAGAACTTCACGGGACTGACATTTCTAAGGACATTCTCACCGTCACACTATGAGAATGGGGACTGGAATAAAGGAGGGAATTGTGTGAGAACGAGGCCGTTTACGAAGCAAGAAATGAAGTTCGATGGGTATAGTTTGGAGTTGTACAAGACCCAGGTGGAGGAGCTAAGAGCAGCAGAAAAGGAAGGGAAAAAGAGGGGCCTCAGATTCAGGATCCTAGATACTAGTGAAGCAATGGTGCTAAGGCCAGATGGACATCCAAGTCAATATGGGCATTCGCCACAAGAGAATAAGACCATACCTGACTGTGTCCACTGGTGCATGCCGGGCCCCGTCGACACGTGGAATGAATTTTTGCTTCAAATGTTGAAGATGGAGAGTGGAGGATCAATAGGGAATCTTCAATGAATGGTCAGCAGAAATCAGATAGATTTCGGATGAGCAAATTAATTATTCCTTTTGTATTTAACTTGTGAAGGTGTAACTACATTGTTTTTATTTATACATATTTCAATGGTAAAAGTTAGATATTTTTGCACGATTAAATTTTTTAATGTAATTTTCTTCATTGACGATATAAGAGAACAAAGGAAGATGAATGATGAGATACTACAAGAAACGTTTGTAGGAATGTGATTACATCTGCTGGTTTAGAGCATAAAGCTTGTTGAGAGTGTGTGCGGCAGAATGGTTGTGAATATGGATAGATAAGCTAATGGTGATGGTAAATATATTTAACTTATTTTTTTATCCAATTTTTACTTATTTTAATTTTACCGAAATAAAACTAAAATCAAATTACATAGCAAAAATAAAGTGCAAGTAAAGTAAATAGAGTTTGAGAGATGACACCAAGATTTTATTAAGAAAATCCCAATTGGTAGAATAGACCAATTGTAACAGAAAAAATCTCGTTAGACTCTCCAGTCCTAAGATAAACGATCCATTATGTTTGAAGCAAAATACACCGAACTTTGACTCAGTCTCACACCCTATCATTCTACCAAAAACCAATTGCTAACAATCCCTGACTTTGCGACTCTCCCGTCCAACAGCTCTCGACCTCAGGCTTATTCTCAATCTCTGTAAAATAGTTGCAGGTAGATCAGACAACACTCCATGAATGCTCTGATCCATTCAAAGTGTGATCGCTTCACCCCTTTTCTTCTAGATCTGAATTTGACGAAGAATGAATGAATTCTGCTTTTCCGGAATTTCTGAATCGTTAATTATGCTTTAATTTCGATGAGATAGAAAACAACACTCCTAAATCACTCTTGTGTTTATGTATGTGCTCTCAAAAATAAAATCAGAAAAATTAGATTAATTTTTTGAATGAATAAAAAATTATCTCTCAAAGATGGCTCTCAATTGGATCTGAATTTTCTATGCAAAAGTCGTGAATAAACCTAGATGACTATCAAGGTTTATATAGAGTTTTAGAATGTCCTAGTCCCTCTGAAAATATAATAAAATTCGTGCATAAGACTTGGAACAATTCTAAACCAACTAGGAAAGAAATCAGAAACAGGAAACTAAACTTTCCATAGGCTATCAGGACTCTTGAACCTGTTCAAAGAATTGAGAACCGGTTCAAGGATAGTAGAATGTTTTTCGAGGCCAATGTTGAAGGCATGGACCTGTTCAAAGAATTTGGAATAGATTCAAGATGACAAAATGATTTCTAAGCCAAATTCAAATAGCCTGAACCTGTTCCAAGAATCATGCACAGGTTCAAGTCTGCCAGACTTGATTCTGAAGGTTCTAGGCACTATTTTTGGTATATTTTGAAACTTACCAAATATGAAATGTGTCCTAACCTTTTTAGATTTCTTCCTAACATGTTGTTCTTCCTTTTCTGTGATGATCGCAGTTATTGCATCTTTGAACAACCTTCCAATTCCGCATTCGCTGTTAATCCCGATATAGTAACTTGAAATTACAACTCGACTATGACTTATTTTAACATTGAAAGTTACCAATTACAAAATATAAAAAAATTTCACAATCTTCCCAAAATTTATATATCTCACAATCTTCCTCTTTGGCAATTTCGTGACAAAACCCTAAAAACAACATGTAATCTACCCAAGCAGAAAAAGCAAATTACAATGATTGTCGAAGAAATAAAACGGAACTCTTCTTGAACATCATGAAGCTTCAACACATGTAGCAACCAGTAATCTGCACATTCGCTCAACACAACTACCCGTGAAGCTTAATCAAGAAAAATAAACAATCAATCTACATCAATATGTGAAAATCAATGTATATGTATCTCCCTCTCAATTCTAAAAACTCTCCTCCTCAATTATGCACATTTTCCCCCTTTTTGTTACAAATTGACAAATAAAACTCAACAAAGAAGGAAAAAAAATGATGTGGAAGAATTAACAAGAAAAGAGATTAAAACTATCACCCATACAAAAGATATTGCAATAAGCACAGAAACATGATGATATATAGTAACAATGGAACAAAAGACAAGTATCCAAGATAACACATGTTCCATCCAAAGATATATAAGACCAATCATGCTCAAATTCACATATGACATCTCCATCCAATCGAAAATCAAAAATTCCTAATAAAAACTAAAAGGAAAATCTTTTTGGATTTTTTTTTTATTTTTCAATTTTTATTTTTCAATTTTTTGATATTTGAACAAAAATAATATGAGATAACAATTTTCATGAATTTCAAGCATATATGAGATCCAAAAATTTCTGAAGAATTCAAGAGAATTTTAAAATACAATTTTTAGACCCCACAAATTATTCAATCAGATCAATTTTCAAGCATGCAATCATAACATGAAATTCAACTTGCAATTTTTATAAAAATTTAAAAATTTGTCTAACAAGTTCACATGTGTATGTGTCTAAACCATATTTCAAGCATCAAGATAAGATTATTTTAAGCAAATTTTTCTAAGCAAGGTGCCTTTTACTCTTAAAAGTAGACAACAATTCTCTATTTCGACTTATCTCCTCCTTTCTTTTTGCTCAATTAGCTCCTCTTCAAAGTCTAGTAGGAGCTTTCGAACGAGTCTCGATAGGTAGCCGTTTCCTTAGCAAAGATTTTCAGCATTCTTTTGATTTTTCTTTTCTTTTCATACTGAAATTTTTCATTTTTTTTTTTCTTCTCAAACACATGCTCTATATTTTTTTAAAAACAATAACCTTTATAACTTTTATGACATAATCAACTTCACAATGATTTCCAATTAAATTTCTTAAAGTTAGACTAGTGCACAAGAAAAATATGAACTCAAGAGATTCATCTCTAAAATGAAATAAACAAAGCAAATTGTCTTTCGATATATAGATTACACATCAATAATCTTTTCATCAAATAATCATGTGTCCCCAATTTGCATTCGAAAATAATTAATTCAAGAGAAATAATTATCACTCATGCATTGACAAGAAAAACATGATCATCACTTTCTCATGAAAGAAAAACAACCTAAATCCTAAACTACAAGATATGGTCCAATGGAAATAAGATGTTTATCAAACCATAGTCTATGACCATAAAAACCTCTTTAGCATTTACTCTGGGGATTTTGCACCCAATGATCTATTGGAAACAAATTCCATAACATCTATAGGCACATACAACCTTAAATCCTCTTTCTTCACCCACAGCTTTCATCTTCAACTTTTGAAGAGATTTCTGAGGAAAATTAAGAACATTCTTTTTCTTATGTGAATTCCTTTTAGCATGAGAATTTCTAGGTTTATTCCAATTATTTTGCTTTCTAGCATGAAACCTATTCTCTGTAAAGGAATTATTACCATGAAAATCAGAACAACAATTATCCATTTGTAATACCCCTAAAATTAAAAAGGATAAAATTGGGATTTAAATTTCATTCTATGTGCATTTTTGTCTATTGATTTTGTAATTGTTGTATTTTGTTTGTTTTATTTAATTATTTGTAAATTGTTACTTGTGTATTTGTATTTCCTTATTTGGTTAATTATTTTCTTTATTTGAATTATGGTTTGTTTAGTTATCTGAGTTATTGTATTGTTTGTTTTATTTTAAATTGTATTTTAAATGCCTTATTTGGTTAATTTTTTAATTGTCTTTAATAAGTGCTTAAGTAGAAGTTGAATTAATAGTTTTCAGTTAGGGTTTCTTGGAGCCGTCATACAAGTATTTAACGTGTATGTGACTTAAGTTTATGGGCCGACTCTAGTTTAATTAGGGTTCTGTCTTAGCTCTAGTTTAATTAGGGTTTTCTAAAGGCCTATATATAAATAGTTTAATTAGGGTTTTCTAAAGGCCTATATATATATGTGTATGAGTTTCACTAAGGGTTTTGGAAGAACCCTATTCACGGCACAGTAAAAATATAACGTAACAGAGAGAGAGTTAAGAGAACAGAGGCAATTGTAAGAGCTACCAAGGACAAGAACAGAGAGGGTCAAAGGAGGGTTGTGGTGGATTAGATCACACCCATAGAAGGCTTGAAGGAAGTTAGTAGTTGCCGGAAACTTAGAGACAACGCCAGGATTTCATAACTGAAATCACAGGCAAGTTCTTCTCTTTCTCCTTCTCTTTGGCTCGTGTTCTGTGCACCTAGATGATCTCTAGGGTTTAATCAATCAATAACTGGAAGTTATATATTTAATATTTGTTATATGAATGAGCTGTTTGCCGTAAATTCAAATCTGTTTACAGTTCATGTATGGTTACTCACAGTTTTGTTCTTAAAAGCATATTAAGTTTTGTTGTAATGTTTGTTACTGTACTTGCTTCCATCTTCTATAAACGAACCATAGGGATGTTAATGAGGTGATAGAAGACTTTAGGTTCAGTATTACTGAGGAACAGAGGAGTTGGAATGGAGCTGTGGTTGCAAAATAGTTTCAGTGTTGTCTCTAAAACATGTCTAGTTCGGTAGCAAATTTGATCTATGTAATTGATTTAAATCGTTAAAATCAAACCTTTGGGATGTTAGTGGATATTAATCAGACCCTTAGGATCAGTTTTTGAAACCAACTGAAGGGCAAAAACATGCCGGAGAAGAAGCAAAAAGTCAGAACGGAGCAGAACTGGGACAGAGGCTCTCAAAGGAGGTGAGAGCCGGCTCCATGGATGTGGGAGCCGGCTCCCATACTCATTAAGCCGGCTCTAAATTCTATAGAGTCGGCTCCAGGCTCAAAAAGAGCCTGCTCTTGGAATTTAGAGCAGGCTCTTTCAAATAGTGGTTTTCTGAATTTTTTTTTTACAATCTGTTTACAACTGTTGGAGCATGGGAACTGTTTGGATGGGTCTGGGTATACACAGAGGTATTAAGAAATTTATTTTGGGTGTAATTAAGACCTTAAGTTGATTAATGTTGACCTCTAAGTTAATGGGACAAATAGTATAAAATTAAAGAATTTTCTACGCTGTTAACGGATGGAAGAGAAATAAATTGCTTAATTAATTTTCAGCAATTGTTATGGGATTTAGTAAGTTATTAAAACTTATTTTATATGCATGGTGAAGTATTTTAATTAACCAACTGGA